TGGCACGGAACGTACGGAAACTACGAAATTGATTGACTTCGAGTGAATGGGAAACAGGCATGGTTCTTCAAAAAGTCGATTTAATTAGTATACGTCTGTATACTTATTAAGACAATTATTACAATCATTATTATATATCTTACAATCATAATTGTTGCAATTGTTATACACCTATTTATTTATGTAATTTAATTATATGGAAACAATAATGTATATTAACTTGTAAGTTTGGTTGTGTGATATCGTGTAGTTGTAAAATGTTCATCACATAATTATACAGAATATTTCCGTCGTATCGTGATCTCTATTTTTACATTATTCTTTATATTCATTTTACTGGAGTAACAATTTCGCGAATGGTACAAGTTTATTTGGATTATTTGTGAAATTAGTCGATTCGTCAATGTACCTATATATTAGAGAGTTTGATGTAACCTCAAAATAATGACCTTGGATATATATTCGCGTAATTATTCTATTAATAAAAGTCAGCAAACATTGCCGGGAAAGGATCGTAGGAATTTTTAAATTTTGCTCATAGAATGAGAACTATAATCTGAATGAGAGTATAATTACTCGCACGCATAGATCACACAGATCAAGATATTCAACAAAAAAAAAAGAAAAGGAGAAAAAAATGAACACTTCGCGATGAATAATAGTAGCACGTAGGTATGCGAAGTATTTCAAAGGAGTGCGAACGAGCGCAGGAATGAATTGCACGTGTAGGGTGTGTGTAATTAATACGATTTCAGGTTGGCGAAGATATATGAATGTTATTAAAAAAAAAAAAAAGAAGAACATGTAGAGAAGTTGCGCGTTGTTACAGGAAAAAGATACAGCTACATGTAATAAAGAAGAATTCAAGATTACGAAGAACAGTTTAATTAATATATGACTTTTGTCAGCCTCGAATCTGATACTAATGGTCGAATACTTTGTTACAAATACCAACAATCACACGGTTGCTATTAACAAATCTCTGAGTAAATACAAGATATATCTCTCTCTTTCGCTCGCACAACGTGAGACGTCTACTCGCTAAAAAAATCTGAAATTCTATCGATTACAACCCACTTATGCTCGTCCTTATTTGTACAAAGAAGGTTATCAGTCCGCCGTTTCTTGGCGATAAAGCAAAAGGACCAAGCACGATCATTCAATTCGATAAACACGACGTTTGAAAAAACGCGTCCGACCTGGCGCAATAAGAGCAACCTCGGGTTTCCGGTTCGTCGCGAATCGATTGCTAAGTAGCCACTGCAAAATGTCGAGTCGCGGAAAGGACGCAAGATTCGAGTCGGTTTCGTTGGTTGAAAATACAACTAAAAAGCTCAGTTACGACCGATAAACAAGGAAATAGCATCCACGTCGCGATCTCGCAACAATCTTGAATTTGAACGATAAAAATACATTGTATATATCAGGGGATTAGCCATAAGTAATATTTTTTTTTTCATAAACCTAACATAACCTATAATTTCCCTTAACATAACCTATAATGATAACACTTCCAGTTAACCTAACATAACCTATATTCTAGTTAAATGTATCGACATTTGGTGTGCTTATTGTTAAATTATATTATAGATTAAAGCTGTACTTTTAAATAAAATAAAATTTTGTACAGTATCAAAAGACAACATTATTTATGGCCATTCTAATATATATACAATTCTGTAACGAAATTACAGTGAACTTGACAATTATTCGAATCTTATTGAAGCCTTTGAATTTTTGAGAAAATCTCATCGAATTAATTGTCTAGGATTGCGAAAAAATTTAGGACCCATCGATGATTTGATGATTGTTTCAAATTTGTTAAACAAAAGTGTTCGGATAAGAGAACTTTCAGGTAAAAGAAAATAATTAGCACTGAATTTGATTCATTATTTAAGACACTGAATATTAAATAAAATTGATATCATTTATTTTTTCTAAATATTTTTATACATAAATTGCACAAAGAAAAAGACATTAGTACTCCTTTTTTTTGACGAAAGTAAAACAATCGAACATATGGACAGCTTTTTTTGCTAAGTTAAATTACATAACTTTTTGAATACACTTAATTCGTAAATAATGGATTTCGAAACTCATCTAAATCCTGTTTCCAAAGCTATAAATGCTTCGAAATAAATTCTTCGCTACATTGAAATATCGAGTTATCGAGTCGACACAACTATCGTAAAAATGTTCTTTACTTCGTGCTCGAGGAATTTTTGACACGGATAAGTTAAAAACAATGTTTCGCAGATGATTCATTATTCAAACTTCATTTCTATCACACACGCCTACTTATGATCGGTATAAAAATGTTCTATAAAGACGAAGAAACAGTAACAGCTCTTGAATATTCCATAAATTAATTATCACGGGTATAAAGCAGTAACATATTGGGAGAAAGAAATACGTGTGAAACATGTTCCTGTGCCTACGACGAATTATTATTTGTCTCTGAAACATGTCGGGGAACTAGGAAATTCAAATTATAATTCAAGCTTGAAATTAAAACTCGTGAAAAGGTATAGAAGTTGTAATATTGTATGTTAAATGCAAAACGTATGTCCTTGATAGTTTCTTTGCCAAGAGCCTTTCTTCGAGTCGAATGAAAAAATAAATCTTCGAAATGCAGTCCTGTTTGAATTTATCAATTTGGAAAGAATCTTGCGAATCCTTTTGCATTTGCCTGAGGAGAGAAGAAGCGACAAAAACAATTTCCTACAAGTTATGCAAAATCATTATTCCAAAATATTCTCGTAGAACGAACTTTTAATAGCTCGATAAGAACGAATGAAGTTCTTCTAATACTGAGTTACTGCTTGATGCGAGAATGTGTGCCTCGATCGATAAATTCGATATTTTTCGACGGTTATGAAAATTTCATGAGGATTATGAAACAGATACAGTGATAACGGTTATATTCTTCAGCCAATTTCGTTTAACTCTATTACACTCGTTGGCGTTTTAAGTGAAAATGAACATTGTTGCTGATGATCATAGTAAAAATCTAATAACATTTCTTGAAATATTACAGTTGCAGTTGAACGACAAATTGTGAACTTTTTCTTAGTGAAGAAAATTCAATGAACTATTACTCACTGTTGCGGTATCATTTCAAAGCAAAATTATTTAGCACATTATCTCGAGAAAATTTGTTCAGAATTTAAGTTTCCCAGAAGAATTATAGGTTAGGTTTCCAACCTAACCTAAACCTTTTTTTGGATAGTATTTTTACTTCAAAAGAATAATGACACCGTTACAGATTCGAACTGTTTGTTATCGATTTTTCAATTACAAACTTCAAGCATGATGTAATGACGCTGTTCAAATCGTAAGTGGAGGCACGCGAGCGAGATTTTCGTCGAACGATGCATGTAAATCGTGAAATTCCTCAAGAATCGTCGCGGGGCAAAACGTCTCTTCCTGCTTTTA